GCGGGCTAGTCCTTGTTCCAGTTAGTTGCTGCTGTGCTGCTAGCTAGAGTGCTTCTTGCTGCTGTGTCTGTTAGAGCTAGCGGGGTTGTAGCAGCAGAGTCTCTTGGGGTGCTTGCGGGGCTTTGAGTTACCTTTGCACCTAGCCAGCTAGCTAGCTAGCCAGCTAGCTAGCTATCTAGCCAGCTAGCTAGCTAGCTAGCCACCAAACTAACCAGCCATCTAGATAGCCAGTTAGCTAGCCAGCTAGCTAGCTAGCTAGCCAGTTAGCTAGCTAGTAACACAGCTAGCTAGCTAGCTAGCTAGCTAACGGCGGCAGCAAACAAACGCGGTAGGAGCAGCAGAAGAAAAAAGGAAAGAAGTGGAAAGTGAAATGAAAAGAAAAGGAAAGGAAAAGCAAGTGCGGAACTGGGGTGTATGTACAGCTGGACTTCTTCCACCACTTGGAAATGGTCATGCGAAACGAAGCCCCGCCTTTGGCGGGTCGCGACCATTTGATGTTTAGGTCTTATTACCATCCGTTGAAAGTGAGGAGTTTAATTAAATTAAATAATTTAATTAAATAATTTATTTTATTTTATTTTATTTTATTAGTTATTTGATTCGGCTTTTGTTCCAAAGTCCAGCAGTTTCTGCAGCTCGCCCGGGCGCCGCCAGCAAGTGGCTGCGGCCGCGGCTCTGTGCTGGGCTGTGCTGTGGCTAGCTAGCTAACGAGCTGGCTAGCTAGCTAGCCAGCTGGCCGTGGCTAGCTAGCTAGCTAGCTGGCCGTGGCTAGCTAGCTAGCTAGCTAGCTAGCTGGCTAGCTAGCTAGCTTGCTGGCTGCCGCAGCTGCTGCTGGTTGGCGAGCTGCTGGGCCGCCAACTGCACAGCTGAGGCCAGCTAGCTAGCTGGCTAGCTAGCTAGCTAGCCAACTAAGCTAGCTAGCCAGCAGCGACAGCTGAGGCAGTCGCACAGCTAGCTGGCCAGTTCGGCTGCCACAGCTCGAACTAGCCAGCTAGCTCTCTGCCGCTCTCGCTAGCCAGCCAGCCAGCTAGCCAGGCACCCAGCTAGCCAGCCAGCTAGCCAGCTAGCTAGCTAGCTAGCCAGGGCGTGTGTGCTGCAGAACGTGGTGGACGGGGACCTGTGCGAACAGTACGGGTCTTTGCCGCCCGCAGTGCAGACGCGAATAGCCGAAGACTTCGAGAAGACTCCTGCGGAGATTCTCAAGAGGCTGGAGGACATCCGCAACAGAGTCTTGTGATTCGCTAGCTAGCTAGCTAGCCGGTGGCTAGCTAGCTGGCTAGCTAGCTGCCTGGCTGGCGGCTAGTTGGCTGGCTAGCTGGCGGCTAGCTGGCTAGCTAGCTAGCCTGTGGCCGCGCCGCATAGCTAGCTAGCTAGCTGGCTAGCCAGCATACAGGCGAGCGATATGGCTAGCCAGCTAGCAGGCTAGCTAGCTGGTTGGCTAGCTAGCTAGGGGCCCTCGTCGTGTGGCTCCGAGGTTGGAGGGTGCATGGTTGAGGGCTGCGGGTTCAGGGTTTAAGGTTTAGGGTTTAGGGTTTAGGGTTTAGGGTTTAGGGTTTGGAGGTTTTAAAGTGGCCGCGGCTAAGGAAAATGAGCAGAGAGGGACTTGGCCTTGCCTGTCAATCAGACAGAGGGGCGTCAGTCTGTGGCTAGCTAGCTAGCTACGCAGCTAGCTGCCAAGTGGGCTATCTTTCAGTTGCTAGCTAGCTACCTAGCTAGCTGTTGAGCGAGCTGCCACTTGCTGGCTGTTTTGCTTGGGGCTAACTACCTGAATAGCGAGCTAGCGAGCTAGCTAGCTAGCTAGCTAGCTAGCTAGCTAGCTAGCTAGCTAGCTAGCTGACTCGCTAGCTAGCTGGCTGGCCGCCGTTTGTTGGCAGGCCGCTGTTCAGCTAGCTGCTGGGTGAGCCGCCCCTTACTGGCTAGCTAGCTGCTGGCTAGCTGCCGAATGGGCCGCCGTTGAATGGCTAGCTAGCTACTCAGCTCGCCGCTCTGCGGACTGCTGCCTAGCTAGCTAGCTACTCAGCTAGCTGCCCAGTGAGCTGCCAGCTAGCCAAGCAGCCGCTCCTTTATTAATAACTTGTCGTATAAATTAGAGCTTAAATCGCATTTACCCCGGCGAACGAATGCCTATAGCTAGCTAGCTTTTTAGCTAGCTAGCTACTCACCTAGCTAGCTACTCAGCTAGCTAGCTGCTTAGCTAGCCACTTACCTAGCTAGCTAGCCAGTACCTAGCTAGCTAGCCAGTTAGCCAGCTAGCTACTGAGGGATAGATGGCTATTTGCCCACTTGCGGGTAGTGAGTCGGCAGTCTTGGAGAGTTGGTTGGCTATCTTCTAGCTAGCTAGCTAGCTAGCTAGCTAGCTAAATAGCTGGCCAGCTGGCTGGCTAGCAGCTAGCTAAACGAAGCAGGCCAGCTAGCTCTGCTGCTCGCCTCTTCTGGAGGCTAGCTGTTGGCAGCAACAGTTGACGACCACCGCCACAGCTAGCTAGCCAAAGCCAGCGACAGCTAGCTAGCCACAGCTAGCTGGCCACAGCTAACTAGCCGCAGCTAGCTAGCCACAGCTAGCTAGCCACAGCTAGCTAGCCACAGCTAGCCAGTGGCAGCCACAGCTAGCTAGCTGCAGGCGGTGGGGCAGTGTTGACAACTGAACTTAGCTAACAGAGCTAGCGTCGAGTAGCCTGGGCTAAACCCTGATTTAGGGTTTAGGGTTTAGTGTTCCGGGTCAAGTGTACGGGAGGTAGAGCATAAGAGACAAATTAATAAATTGAATTAAATTAAATAAATAAAAAGTTAATAGAGATGATATTTAAAGGAGAAGAGGGTGGATGGGAGAGAGAGGCAGAGAGTGATGAGGGTTTAGGGTTTAGGGTTTACTATCTAGTGTTTAGGGTTTAGGGTTTACATTCTAGTGTTTAGGGTTTAGGGTTTAGGGTTTGAGGCTTCAAAGTTTTGGCCGAAGGCCAAGTTATGCCTTTTAAAGGGAGCGGCGACAATACTTGCTGCTCTGGGAAGTTAGGGTTTAGGGTTTAGGGTTTAGGGTTTAGGGTTTAGGGTTTAGTATGAACGATGTACTGCTGCATGCGCAGTCTCACTGCCCTCTTTGCACTTTAACGTTTCATTTTCAAGGGGGCAATTATTCCTTTATTACTGTTCGTAAACCCTAAACCCTAAACCCTAAACCCTAAACCCTAAACCCTAGCTTTCAAGTGCACCAATAAGGACTGGGCGGCCGCTCTTCTAGTTTTGCTAGGGTTTATGAACTTATGAATTAAATTAATTTATTTAATTGAAATAAATAAATAATTTAATTTGATTAATTAATTAAAAGAAATCAAATGTGAAGAGCCCAAGTGTGCACTACAAATGAAACATGAGCAGCAGCTTACAGCAGCAGCTGCGGCAACAGCAGCAGCAGCAGCAGCAGCAGCAGCAGCAGAACCCCACCCAGAAAGACTCGTACTGCTGCTGCTGCTGCTGCTGCTTTGGTTGCTGCGATAGCTCTGGCAGCAGCAGCAGCGGCGGCGGCAGGACTCCGCCCAGACAGCGTTGCGCCACTGCTGCTGCTGCTGCTGCTGCTGCTGCTGCTGCTGCTGCTGCTGCAGCGTTGGTTGCTGCAGTACTTGTGGCAGCAGCAGCATGAGCAGGACTCTGACGGGAAATATTTGCGCTGCTGCTGCAGCTGCTGCTGCAGCTGCTGCAGCAGCTGCTGCTGCTGCATTGGAGTTCAACTCACTTTGCTGGACGCGCATCTCTGGCTAGTCTCCAGCAGCGAGTGGTTGCTGCAGCAAACCCTAAACCCTAAACCCTAAACCCTAAACCCTAGGCTAGAAAGAAACTACGTGGAACTAAAGTTGAGAAGAAGTGCTGCCTGGAAACGAGAAATTGGAGAAGCTAATTTGGACAGAGAATGGAGACATGGGGGCTGCTGCACAGCGTGGCGTTTAGGGATTAGGGTTTAGGGTTTAGGGTTTTGGGTTTGCGAAATAGGTCTTTTCGCCTAGAGTTTGTCAGTATACTCTAGTCCATTTAATTTCAAGACAAGCGAACCCTTGCCACTTGTCGATATTGCTGCGATGCTCCTGCACGGAGCAGCAGCAGCAGCAGCAGCAGCAGCAGTACCAGCAAGGGCAGCAGCAGCGGCAGCAGCAGCGGCAGCAGCAGGCTCTTTGTTTGCGAGAATTATAAGCCTTTTGCTTGAGTAGAAATGCAGAAAATATGCAAGCAGACCCACCTCACAGCAGCAGCAGCAGCAGCAACAGCAGCAGCAGCAGCAGCAGCAGCAGAGAGCGACGGTCGTGCTGCCGGTGCCACTGCAGGGCTGGGGCACCGAGTTGGACCCCCAAAAGAAAAGCCTTTAGTTGAACTTAAAATAAATAAATAAATTAAAAATAAAGAAAGAGATAAATTAAAAAAGCAGCTGAGCTGCCTAGACACCTCAGCCGCAACTCCGACAGACACTGCTGCTGCTGTGTCACTCACCAGCAGCAGCAGCAGCAGCAGCAGCAGCGCCTTCTGTCTGTCTCGGCCTTGTTTTTGTTTCATCACCGTGAAACAGCAGCAGCAAATTCCTCCACCGTCTCAAGAAGCCTCTCTTTCGGCAGAACCACAGCAGCAGCAGCAGCAGTAGCAGCAGCAGCAGCAGCAACGGGAGCCGACAGCAGTCACTGTGCTGCAGAGACGGCTCGGAGCAGCAGCGCGCCCCCATCTGAGCCCTTGCTGCATTTTTGTCTTTAAAATTAACTTGGCAGCAGCAGCAGCAGCAGGAGGCTGGCTTATCCTAATAAGCAAGCAGCAGTATCCGGTAAGCAAGCAGCAGCAGCAGCAGCAGCAGCAGCTGCTGCAGCAGCAGCGCGCCCTACTGCACATCTCCCCCAAAGGAAGCCCCCAAAGCCCTCATTGAAATTAACTCAAAGATGGATCTCAAGGAAAATGAGTTGCGGGAAAACGCTGCAGCGGCTGCAGCAGCAGCAGCAGCAGCAGCAGCAGCAGAAGATGCCACAGCC